AACAAGTTACTGAATAACTTTCAGACACAAAATTCTGTTTTGCCCCATCAATGCATCTCCGAGCAACACAGTGTTTTGTTTCTCAGCATTACACAGAGCAGTAAATGGTTCAAACAGACTACAAGTACAGTCGTTTGCCAAGTTAAATGAATGAGCATTTTAAACGAATCGGTTGATTTAAGGATTCAACTCACTCATTAAGACAGTCACTTGCTGCCACCTACTGGCGGTTGTAGTTTCATATTTTAAAAAGTAGCTCATCATTTCATTTTTGCAATTATGTAATATTTCTACATTAAAACATTGTATTTAAACTTAACTTATGCACAATCCATATATGGATTTTGTTTATAGTGATTTAATTTGATTAATAAATAGTTTAAATTACGCTGAAGGAGGAATATCTGCAAGATATTTTTTTAGAGTGTTTCCAATCAAATGTCAAATAGATGCTTAGAAAATGTCTTAGGTGTTTGTGAAGTCAGTCATATACTGAAATTGTGACCCATTTCAATAAAAAGGCTATGGGACTCATTCACGAAACTTGCAGAAATAAATAAGTAATTTGCCATTAAACAGACAACCCCGAAAACGCTCCTCCGGATTAACAAACACTTCATAAATAGCATATTTGATATCTAAATGTGTATGTTAATGAATTCCAATAATTAATAAAAAGGGCACGCATGCATGCTCATTCACAATTAGCGTAATCCCTGCGTATAAATGACAATTACGCAAGTTGCATGTCCAGGAACGCTGTGAAATCTTTTGTACTCCCTTCTCAGGTTTGTGAAATATTCACTTGTGAAATATTATATAGTGCATCAAAATGCAGTGTCATCAGTTTTCCAAAAGCAACAAAACGTTTTACGCACTGTTTACATGTGGTAGGGATCAGGGCCCGTATTCACAAAACATTTTATTTTACCACTAAGAGTTATCCTAAATAGCAGTAAAAGTTTAGCTAAGAGTTCTCTTAAAACCCATTCACAAAGCTGCGGAGACAAACTTTTACTAAGGAATAGAGAGAAGTCTTAAGCTAAGAGTAAGGGGGCGGTTGACTTCGTTGCTATGGATGTCAGCATACTTAACTATGCACACAGTGATTGGCTGATAGTCTGTCAGATTTATTCATAGAAATATCGCGCTCTACAATATTATGTTGCCATATTCAAATAAAGATTTTAAAATGCAGGCTAAGTGTCACTAATTAAACAAGTATATTCAGCTAATTGTCAGCCTCTTATATGCATGCTTCTCGTAAACAATATGCATATAAACAGCCTTTTAATTAACAGAGTAGAATAATCATGGCTGATAGTAAGACATGCAAACATAAAAGAAAACCATCTATATATTATGAAAGAACAATATCTATATATTAAGGATATAATAATTTTTTGAGTTGGGATAACCTCCAAACCAAAGCCGATACCTTTTTAAAAGCTCATTGTCAAATGTTTCTAAAATGTTCATATTCCGAGTTCATAGTCCTAAATTTAGGATTGACACGCCCATTATTTTTTAAGATTTTCTCCTAAATCGGCGAGTTATGAGCTACTTTTAGCCTTAAGATGTTTTGTGAATATTGGCCCAGGTGTACATTTTTTTCGTACCAAAAATATTAACATTTCATGAATTCAAAAGTTTACATCAGAATAGCTTTACGAACAATTTACACTAAAATTCGTTTTGCTAACGCTTCATGAACGGGGCCATGTTTATATATTAACTGCTTTGCATCATGTAGTCATAATTTGGTATATAAATAGGTGCCATGTAGTGCCAAAAGAGGCTCTCCTATGATTGCGAGCCAAAGAACCACTGTTGGCAGGGCTACTGTGACAAAAGGTGCTGTATAGTGCTATTTAGCACCATTTTGGTTTATGAGTGTACCATCACAACCAGTTACATTAAGCATTTTCATTTACAAGAAATAAAGCAAAATATAGTTTGTAGCAAATCAGACAGAACACAAAACCCATAATGTGCGATATGACAGGCGGTCATATAAACTCTGATCTCAAAGATAATAAACTTAAAACTAAATAAACTTAGGGATATAAACTGTATTAGGCTATTTAAACTACAACAAGTAAAGTTTAACATCTGTACTGTATATTTATATGACATGTGCCTAAAGTCATAATGTGTACTTATTTACATTTTTTCTTCACGCTGTGTAATGAACTTAAAAGATCTCACCTGTGACCAGTTTGTTGGCGTCTGTTGTGCTCAAGTAAACCGAGAGACACAACAAAACCGCAATCAACGAGCAGCACACCTGAGCTTTCATCCTCGCGACCTGTGGAAAACAGTGGAAAATGTGCTGAATCGGATGGTCAGGAGGGTTTTTAAAGCGGTCAGATGCACCTCCAACCCTGAAACTCACCTGCCTGTAGGCAAGTAGCCTAATCTTGAAGACCCTGATTAGCGTGTTCAGGTGTGTTTAGGTGTGTTCATGGCATATCGTAATTATCGTGATTTCAAGATAACAACCTGTAAAATTCGTCATGGCCTTACGAACTTACCATTGGGCTTGACTGGGCTGCAGCCCATGGGCCCCGCCTGAACCCGTTTATGTTTGTTTGATTTCTTCAGTTATGCCGGTCAAAAATTTTAGCCGCATTTCAACTGCGCACAC